ATATAGCACATACTAATATGAGTACCTATATGTCAAGCCTAACTCCGAATTTTCTTGCTTTCCAAGATTGTTAGCTATTTGCATTGCTTCACTTATTTTATTTTTTTTATAGTTTAATATCTTACTTATCAGAGACAAGCAGGGTCCAGTTAGTTAAGGTTTCAGTTGTACGTGGAATGCAACTTCCTAAGCTTGTCATGCATCAAGCTGTTATGGCTGGCAATTGTTTAAAAAAATTCATTTTGTTATGAACTAGCCTGTTTTCAACTGGGCTGTTCAGAGATGGATTGCTTTCTGGAGTTTTTGACAGGTGTAATTGTTAAGGCGTCATCTGTTCTTGTTTGCACAAAATACATTTTAGCCAACTGTAGGACTTGCCCGCTAATCTTTCTCACATCATTCCATTCTTTGCTTGCCACTAGACAAATCCCCTGTTATTTGACCAGATGGTGGAAAATCCATTCTCATGATAAGTTGCTTCTAGTTTGCATTTAGATTACCTGCAAAAATGGAACAATTTACTACTCTGCCTCTAACCATCTCTTTCCTCCTTTTTTCCCTTAGTTTGACTTCTTGTAACTAATTATTTAAATTCTGCCCTGTGAGTTAAAATTAGTCATAGCTTACACATTCCACATGTATGTAAATGCACTTAAGTTCCACCTCAAGTTGTATGATGAATCCATCTAGAGTTTAGTGACACATAAAGGAAGGAAGATGAGCTGTCTAATGTGCAAACACAGCAGTTTGTAATACTTTCATATTTGAGGTGATACTTTTGAACTTTTTAAGTAAAGTATGCAATGTTTAAAAACCAAAGTGAGGTGTGAAAGTGCTCACAGCAACATCTACTGACATCCTCAAGGAATAGAGGATACATATATTAAGTGGAATATCACGTTTCATGAAGTACTTGTAGGTATTTTGTCTGGTATGTTTCTCACATTTTTTTGAAAATAACATGTAGTACAGAGTTAGATAGCTATAACCTAACATTCATTTTTGCCTTATTATTATGAAAAGGCAACTTTTACTGTCTAAAAGCTTATATGAGATTAGGTGTCTGTCTCAAACCAGTCAAAACCCAACTAAAATTGGGGTGAACTAACCACTACAAATTGATCAGATTCAAATACTCTTCAGTGCTCTAATTTTTAATACAGAGAAGAATACAAGAAATCAATTTCAAAGCATAAAATAGAACAAGAATATACAGTACCCAGGGTAAATAGCCAATATGCAGTTTTATCTTCAGTTAAATCAATTGTATGTGGAACCTGAGAGACAGAGTATATCTGCTGACACAACATGAATAAAAAAAGTTAGCTAAATTAATTTGGCGAAGATTGTCTAAAAAGGCCCACACCAAGACTGATTGTTTTGGTAAACTTGTTTTTGGATCCTAACCAATAATTCTTACTACTTGTTTTTATGTTTTCTGGGTTTGTTGTTGGGGTTTTTTTGTTAGTTTATTTTAATAAGGAATGCCGAGTAAGCAGTTTTGTGAGGAAGCCTTAATTTCTGACCCATTTCTGACCCACAGCCTTATAGCTGACCATTAATTGTAAATGTAAATCTATTAAATGACAGCTAAATTACATAGGGTGGAGGCCAAATGGGTATCATGGTGTTAGGCAGCTTCTAAATATCTAAAATAAAAACATGTTTTTTATTCAGCATAAAAGTCCGTTTATGGGAATACACTTGCTGTGCTAAAATAAATCTTAACAAGAAGAGAAAAACGCCCTACAAGAAAATTCAGGATTTTTTTTTCTCCAAAGCACTGCTCTAGGTGGTAGTTAGAAACCCGGTGTGCACTTTGAAATGTGTTCCATAGTGTCTCAGGACTGTTTGCTTTTTCAAGTTAAGCACAATAGGCCCCATTCTGTGCTAGTTTGGATGCCATGCAATCTTGATGAAGTCAGTGAGATTTTAAGAGATTTATATTGATATTGTGTTGGCTTAGCTCAGTGTTTTGGGAGTTTATATTATTATTATTATTATCCTTATTGTCATTATTTTTTTTATTTCTGTTGCAGCAGAGGGTGAGTGGATGAAAGTAAATAATACTTTAAAGAAAATTGTTAGTGAGCATTGGGTAAGGGCTGGGTCGGAAAAGTTCATAAGATTTCTTGGCTCCTGAAGTGGTATCTAGCTCTGCGCAGTGCAAAGGAAGGCTTCTTTCCCTCGCACTATGATCCACAGTAGCTGTTATGTTGTTTATAAAGCCTTAAATATTGCTTTAAAAACAAACACAACAGCCCCCTCCCTTCTCCTTCCTTCCTGCCCTCATCCCCTCCCCTCTTCCCTTCATGTTCCCCACCCTCCAAAAGTTGCAATCTAATTCTGGCTAGATTTAAAGTAGGATTGTGGACAGTCCAAAACACTGATCTGGGCTTGAATCACAGAATGGTTGAGGTTGGAAGGGACCTCTTGTCCAACCCCTCTGGGTTGGAGAAGCAGAGTTACCTGGAACTGTGTAGATTCATGTCCAGGTGGGTGTTGACTATCTCCATGGGCCACAATCCCTCTGGCCAACCTGTTCCAGTGCTCTGTCATCCTTGTAGTAAAAAAGTGCCTCCTGATATTCAGATGGAACTTCCTGTGTTTCAGTTTTTCTGTTGTCTAAAAAAACAGCAAAAGAAACCCAACCAAAGCAAAAGTTGGCTGACAAGTATTCTACATTATCTTGGTGCAGTGAATAGGTGAATATTTATTTATGACCTATTTCATCATAAGGATGTTCAAACTCACATCTTCCACTTCTATTCCCAGAAGAATACCACAGCTACTTTAGAATAAAGGTTTTCTGGAGTGAGCCATATTCTACTTCACTTGTTTAACTACTCAAGTAACAGCAATAATCAGTATCACCATTCAAGGTTTATTTGACCAAAGAACCAGTGGAAGAAAGAGCATAATTCTGAAGGCCTGTGATGAGGGCACTCATCTGGGAAGGATTCTGATTCTATTTTTACAAGGACTGCTTATGCATTTTTTAATAACTCTTAATACAACATATTCTACTGTTTCCCTTTATTTCATCCAATATATCCTGATTTTTTAGTTGGTTTTTTTTTTTTTCCTTTAAAGTGCCTTTTTTTAGCTGGAGGAGCTAACATGCCCCTCGCTTTAGAATAGTTGTTATCAAAGACACTGTGGTAATCTCTGGAGCTGTGACAGATGTATGTTTGAATATCATCTATCTGAGAGGCATAGTCGTCCTGAGGACCTAGTTCTCCCATGTCTTTGCTGAAGCCATGTAAAAACAGGCATATCTTCTAGTCTTGCTTCACCAAAAAAACCCAACCAAACAAAAAAACCCCCAAAACCAAAAAACACAAACAACACAAAACCCACAAAAACTAAAACCAAGCCAAAACAACAAAACAAAACTAATAAAAAAAAGAACCACCAACAAAAAAAGTCAGAGGAAACTGTAAGTTGGAGCATGGGTCAGTCAGTGTGATGGTGCACTAAAGATTTTGAGGCTTGAATTCACTTTGAGGTAGGCATTCCTGGGTGACCCAGACTGAAGGGTTTATGTCTCCCAAGCATACACCACATAGAAGAAACTCTCCCTCATCTCTCTTACTAGCTTGCATGGTTCCCAGCTTGTGTTGCAAATCCCATTTTAAGATACTTAACTTTCCGAGTACAGTGTGTATGGTGCTTAGACATCTAACTTAAAGACCCAGGATATCACAATGAATAAATCTCTCTGGTAGTATCTTAATTAGTGAATGCAGGAATATCTCAGGATTTGGAGGTGTTTGGTCTGGCCTTCATCACAGAGCTGTCTTCTCCTTTTGTATGGGGGGTCCCATGGGACACTCGACACACTGTGTAGGTGCAGTCTTATAGAGAAAGGTCCTCAGTTTCCACAGTAGATAACTTTCCATTTTCTCATAAAGCTATAATGATACTAATTTTTTTCTCAAACCTGCAGTCTCAAATTACTGTTGAAACAAATACTTGATTTTAAAAAGCAAGATTGGTTTAGAGATATGTAGATGTTAATGTTGTAAAAATAATGGTAACATAAATTAATCCTCTATTGACAAGAATATTTATTATTAAAAAATCACAGCCTAAAATTTTACATTTGAAAAATGTGTAAAATTTCTCAAATAATTTACCCTTACTTCAGTGAACTACCATTCTATTACAAGGGGAAAAGGTATTAATTTGTGGAAGACACAAAAGCATCTAAAATGTGTTTTTATTACAGAGAAGAGGGAGGAAAAAAAAAAAAAGAAAATTGGTGGGTACTGTTTTGTGTGCAATTCCCAAGTATATTTTAAAAACAACATTGAATTTTTATAGCCAAATTATATTTTCTGCTAACAGGGAGCTGAGGAGGGATGAATAATAGAATGATTGACAAATCTTTTAGGGCCTGATTTTACAAGATGCTGCGCACCTCCTGATTGCTGCCAATCACTTTCATTTTCTTTCAGTCAATCCGAGAACATATGGCATTATTCAGATGGTGCTGAGCACCTTCAATCACAGTCCTCATAATACCACAACATCCTCATTCTGTGCAAATGTGAGAATTGCTGCTGACATTTTAAATTGGAGGGTTATTTGGTCTTTGTCTGGACAAACTCCCAGCTGACATAAATGGATGTTGTGCCTGAGGATGGATTGGAATAGTAAACAATAAATAATCAATAAGCACCATTGTATAGATACAAACTATGTGAAGTATCAATTTGATTTATAAAATTCCATACCTCTTCCACTTTTATTTGATGGGGGAAAAAATACTATTCTTATGGAGAACTGAAGTTTAGTTTACTCTCAGTGCAAATTTTGAAAATTTGGAAATTGCGGGTGTTATGTGCAAAAGGCAGTTGATTTGAAGAGATCAGAAAGGTGTTTAATTTAAAAACAAATTAAAAAAAAAATTCATTTCAACATACTGATTTTTCCTGCATTACAGTTACCTGTAGAGATCCTCTAGTCATGTCTATCTGTTTTTGATGCCTCTACAGAATAACTGTCCAGCATCCTCTGCCCAACCAATCAGAATGTAGGAAAATCTACCGATATGACGGAATCTACTGTGAATCTACCTACCAGAAGTATGTTGAAATCTGTGTGAGTCTTGCCTCTAGCTCGTGCATTTAGTGCTCGTGCTCTCCTGATATTCAGAAATTACACGTGTGTTGAAACCGTACACTTCTACTTGTGTGCAAAACCTCTACAGCAGGGACAGAATTATGCTGTTTAATTCTTTGGGATTGTGCTCTAAAAGCTAAAAAGCAAATAAAAACTCTAAGACTTTACTGAATCTCTTAGGTATGCTTCTGTACAGTGCAATAAACAAGAGTGTACATGCTAGAAAATCTAGGCAAAATGTATTGCACAGGTGCTTCACATCTTAGGGATTTGAAAGGTGTGTTATGTATAAATTAGCTGTCACTTTTTTTCAGTCATGTAATGGAATGATGAGTTGTAATTTGCATAATCCTTTAAGAAGTCAAATTATACTGTCATGTAGCAGACTTAACATGCTAGCTAGGATTTCATAGCTTTGCAGCTAATTAGTATGTACCTTACAGGACAGTTAAATTGAAGTTGAGTCCTCTTTCTTTGCAGTCATTTGCCTTTGTCCATTGCCATAACAGAGCCCGCTTTTGTGCGTAACTCAAGATCGTTACTGGTGCTTCTGACAAAAATGCTATTGCTATGGGCAGGCAAATGCAAAGTGCTTGACTTCTGTTAGTTTTGCAAGCAGTGATATTTCTATTTTGCTGTAATAAGGATTTAATAATCTATTTCTACATAGAATTGAAAAGTATATATTTCACAGGTATATTGTAGATTATTTTGTATTAATATGTTACAAATGCATTATGAATTCTCTGGATTTTATCTTACTGGATTTTGAAACTGTATTCAGTCACTTAGTGTTTCCTTTTCATGCTCCAACTACATTCCTGTTTTGTATACCAGTGTTACCATTATCATTCTCTGTATAACATTTCATTTTTCAATAACCCCTTAACTTCTAAAAATCAGTTGTATTTTGCATTGCAACAAAATATTTCTTTGGCAAGGCAGTCATACTCATTAAAATTTTTAAATCATATTCTCTCATCTCCCCTTTTTATTCTATAACCTGCTGCTTGTTTCCTGAATCTTTTCTTTTAGTAATAGGTACAACCACATCAGTAAAAGCTGTTACTTCGCTGTAAATGAAGACTATCGTTTTGGTTTACAGAAGTGAGAGGAAAAGAGAAATCTAGATTTATCAAAATAATTACAGCATCAGTGTAACTTGGTGAGCCAAAATGAAAATCTGACCTCTTCCTTGGCTTTTTTTTGTGAATGGCTACTTTTGGTGTGAGATATGATTTATTTCTGATTTACATCGACTTATAAATACTTCCTGGACTTTTTGAATTTTTGATGGTTTTTCCCTTCTATTTCTCTAAATAATGGCAATGTTCAGGGTAACTGAAGCAATCTGCATCTGGTATGATTTTAAATTTCACCATAGAACTTCATTTCAGTGGTTTTACTTCTCTTGTAACTTCAGTTCAGGAAGCATAAAAATGTATTCATTTGTTTAAACGTATGAAACAGATTTGTTGTGCACTATTTATATCAGTTTTTAGAACAACTTCAAGATTTTGAAACTTTGTGGAAATAAGAAAACTTGGCACAGTTTGTCATAAGTGTTAAATACAGTAATGGCTTCACTCTGAACACTGCAACATAGTTGATTATCTTAATTTTATTTTTTTAGTTAGGTAGAATTATAGTCAGTATAATTAAAAGCAGCTAACTGTGCTGCCCACAAAATGGAATAGTGGATGTTCTTTTACAAGGAGGTGTACAATTGCAAATAAATGTTGGCTAAATAGCTTTTGGAGGAAAAAAAAAAGAAAAGCAACACCCAAAAAACAGACTGGTGATGAAGCAGTGTTGATTTTGACATATGTTTTGTCATTTTTGAAATGTGAATTATGAAGTATTTTAGCCCAGTTCACTTTGCTTCTAAAAAGCATGGATTAGTTTGGAAAGCTCACTGCTTTCCAAAAAGTTTACTGCAGAAGATATAGACTGCTTTTTGATTTGTGAAATTTTCTCTTGATATTTCTTCCATGTTACTCAAGCTCTCTTTCTGCCTTCTTCACAATGGATGCTTTTGGAATCTTTTCCCCCAGTAATTTATTTCCAAAGATATAACAACAAGTTACTGAAGATTTCTCACTAGTCAAGACCAAAAAAATCAAGTTATTTTTATGACATGTTTAAAGCTTTTACTCTAATGCTACAAGATGTGAACATTTGGTACTAGATGTTTATGTGCACCTCATTTGCAGGCTCTGTCTCTCCACTGATTAGTTTGGGAAAGGGAGAATGGATGTACAAAGGCCACTGGGTGACAACAGAAAGGGCTTTGTGATTCTACCTTTTCTTGCAGGATAGTTTTTGGGCTGGACACAAAGCAGCAAACTACTTATTCTGAGAGCTAAAGGAATTTTAAGGACTGGCCATACAGGATAGGACAAGACAGAGACTCATGAATTTTGGAACTAGACTGGTTTTTCTCTAACTCTTTTTAAAATTAAAAAAAAAAGTATGATGCAGAGAGCCTCTGGATTCATGCTTAAGCATGTACCTGGTAAAGGTATTTTGTGTAAAGCTACTTAGCAGTTGAAATGGAGATATTCTGATCTTTTCTGCAAAAATTAGAAAGGATCATACCATCATCTTCTATTCCAAAAATACTTTTCAGAAAACATTTGGGGAAATAACATTTTTAGGCAAGACTTAGTGCTAATAAACACTGAAATAAGATTGCAAGGTATAGACTATAATACTATTTAAAAAAAAAATGCCAAAGGCTTTTAGCAACACAAGTTTCTGAGGAACTGGACTAATTTTTGTTCTACCTAATATATATAAAATTAGAAATATAATAAACATTCCAATACAGATTTCTCTAGAGTCTTTATGATCCTTTATGATCCTTTTACAATTGAGCCTCATAGCTGCTGCTAAATACCTCACTTGGAATGGAGATGAATATACAGTTTCAAAAGTTGTTGGCAAGAGAGCAGATCCCCCCCCCCCCCCATTGTTCCTCACCTTGGTTGCCATGGGTCTACAGTGTTTTTAGGTCACTATACATGTAAACATGCTTTTCAAGAGGCTCTAAATAATTACAAATACTTTCTGTGCTCACTGGTGGTAGGGACTAATACACCAAGCATTCTTAAAAGATTTTACCATTGTGTTTTTTGAAGTAGATGGCATATCTTGAGCTATGGAGGTAAAATCAGAGGCCTGTCAGTTACTGGCCTGGAACACAGATGTCCATCAACTCCTGAAGAATTCTCCTTTTCTTTTCCCATTCATTTCTCCTTTTCAGTACCCATAGCTGTAGCAAGGCATGTCCAGGCTCTTTTGTGATGTCAAAAAAATTGACGACAAAAAGAAGTATTTCCTGTTCAGTTCTAACTACTTCGCTATAACCAAACTACCAAGGTTTTTCCCTCTTGCCCGGGTTGAAAATCCTTTTTTCTGCTTGCTCAAACACCTATGGTTTGCACTCTTGTTCGTCTTTATGGAGTGTCAAACAGTGAACAAAGCATGGGTAGATGATCTCCAGAGACAGTTGAAGAGGAGCACAGCTCCCTGACCGTGCTCTGGTTTTATTTGTTGCTAAATTACAAGGAACAATGGCATGTGAAGAAAAGGGGGTTTTTGCTTGTCTACAGGGAGTCTTTATTGTGTACAGGCAGAGGATATCTCAGAGCTTTTATTGTTCTCAGCCTGGAAGTAACTTCATAAGGTGACCCTTCAGGGTATCACCTGGGTCTTAAGGGGAAATTCTTAGTTTGATGGCTGTTGTGTGCTCTCTCTTAAACAAGGGTGGAAGAATCATCTCTTCCTTGCTTCTTGCTCTCCATATTATGCAGAATTAAACGTCATGTCTTTCTTCAGGAGAATAGGGAAGAGTTCTACAGGAAGCCATTTTTTCTGAAATCAAGAGTGTGGAATAAATATGTAAGGAAAACACCTAGCTCATTTAAATAAAAAAATTACAACTATGATCTTATTAGCTCTTTTCCTTTCTTGGCAAGTTAGTGAAATGAGCACAGAACAGAAGGCTCAGTGATTTCAGTCTAAGAAGTGGAGAAATTTTTCCTGGAAAGTGTAGCTTGGTCATATACACATTGTCATCCTGAGCCTGTAAATGCTCTGAATATCCAAACCTGACAGACCAGAGTAAGCTCCTCTCAGATTCCATATTGAATCATAGTCATAAATATTTGTACAACTAAGAAAAGGAGGCTCAAGGCTAAACCATTTGATTCAGCCTCTAAGTCCTAAATTTAAATTTATTTATAAAATGGATATAACAAGACCAGAATTGGTTTGTATACATGAGACATCTAATGACCCCTATCAGACAATATAAATGAGAATATGAACCTCTTAATGCCAAAATAGGTCTCCTGGGATTTCTCGTAAGGGAAATCAACAAGATAAATAGTATGGGAAGATGGTTTCTTGAAGTGGTCTGTAGTGCCCATCACCATCTTAATGTGGACAAAATGGTAAAAAAACTGCAGAAGAGGAGCTAGTGGTTCCAAATGGAGTGTCACCACCTTGTGAAAGTCGTTTAAAACTCCCAACTGGCACCTTGGCAGCTGTGCCTGATGATTCAGGTCGGTATAGTCACTTCAGCAGCATAGAGAAGTTGATGATGGCTGAGAGGTCATTATTTTTTTCCATCTTCTTGTTTCGTAGTTGTGGTGCTGCACATAAATTACCTTAGAGAGATGTAAAACTTTTCAGACTTTTTGTTTGTGTATTCTGACTCATATGATACCATATAACTGAGGAAAAGATATGCTGGTTTCAAACAATTATTTTGGTGCCAGGAAAAGCATACAACATTTAGGACAACAGGGCTATCATTCAGGCTAATGCTGGAAGGTACAAGAGTATTTTTTCCAACAGTGACTTCAGTATTTCATGTTTAGGGTTTAACCTAAGAGAGAATATACTGAAGAAGCTGCTGTTTAGTTTGCTCTACTCTAGTAAAAGAGTAAGTAGAGGC